CCTAAATGACTGCCGACCCCCCTTAGACAGATGGAAAAATTTAATATTCGAAAAGAGCCCATTTTAGATAAAATAAAATTCCTTTTCTGCGAGAGAACAGCAGATAAACAATTTCCGAAATCAAACGTTATGGAGATAAATTTCCAATTTTGAAGATCGAAACAAGCGTTTTACCTCATCATTCGCACATTCAGCGGGGTGATACTTTGTCGGGCGAAAACACGCGATAAATCTTCCAGAATTCTTTTATTTTATTTTATTCTGGAAGTCAAAACAAAAACTAGATACGAAACAGAATACATTTAGCTTATAGAAGAGAAACGAAGAGGAAAAAAAAGGAATAAATTCTACGCGTAAACCCTCTTAAAATCTGCAAGAAAAGGGGATCAATTTTAAGCCTTTTTCTACCCCATAAAACGACTTCAAAGAATGTTTTTCCCCCTCGTAAAGATTATCAAACATTCCCGCCCAATGGAAGCACAACGTACTTTTAATACAAGAAAACGAAATAATAATAATAATGCTAGATACGATACTGTCGCTACTTGTCATTGGCCTTGATAGTCACGATCTTGACGGGGGTATATTTTTAACCACGTAAGAGGAAGTAAGGTAAGATTTTTGGATGTTAACCAAATCGTGCAAGAGAAGAGAAGTGGAAGGAAAAAAAAGGGGAATAATATATTAAAATTTCTATAGTAGGATCGATTACAATATGAAGGGTGGAAAAAAACAACCCGAACAACGTCGTGGCACCTGTTATAATAAATTTTACTCACGGAGGTTGCTGGTGTTAGTAGATCCGATAGACAATATATAGAAGATGGATAAGACAGCAGCAACGTTTTCCCGCCATATCGTTCCCATGGCGGCGAGTCAGGCGATTGTATGAAACACGGCGGCCGATATACTCCTGGCAGCTGCACTCGGTACCATCTTAACACACACCTCTTCCTACTCTGACTGAAGCTAAGCAGGGAAGCGTCAAGCATTCGCAGGGGCTCTCGAAGACCACGCTACGTTTACTACACCGTCGAGGCTCTGGAAGACGTCTCCCAATCAATTCCTACACACCAGAAGTTTTGCCCAGGCGCTACTTTATAGTATAATAAAGTCTGTCGTGTTTTACATTATTGTATTTTATTATAGTTATTTATAAGAAAAAGTTATATACGTTATTAAGGAATTTCGAGTTGTATAATGGCGGATTCGTAAAGATACTTTTGGGAATTCGACATTATTACATAATTACGAGGGCTTTAAAAGAGTATCGAATGACTGCGTTATAAATAGAACTTGCTGTTTTATTAGGTTATGATGTAGTGGTTAGGAATAGGACGTATTAAAAGAAACTATAGATAAATCTAAGTAGGTAATAGGGAGTTGAATAGGAAACACTCTAGAATTTAAAACAGGAGAAGGCTGTATATTTTCTCAACAAACTTCCTGGACATCTGGTGGACCGTTAAAGTACTATCGCTCTCAGTTCTTTAGCAGTCTTAACGACTCTCAAACCCGTCATGTTCTTTCTTTTGGTAGCAGCTGGACCCTTATAAACAAGAAGACGATCCTGTTGTTGGAAATGTAACTCTCTTTAACTCTGTCCAGATGTATTATTTTATCATTCGATTGATGTCTCCCCTACCTAGTAATTATCGTAGTTTTCTTAGAATAAAAGCTAGAATATGGTTTTTTTCTACTCGTAAAATTAATTTTTTAAAACTTTTTAAACTTTGCCTCGAAGGAAAAAAAAGTAAATTGAAGTCGTATTAGAGTCTTTAAAAAATCAATGAGTCTTAAAAGCCTGTGTGTAATGGAACATGTGAAATTCAACATCTGCAATAATAAGCTTCCTTCTTAAATACGCACTGAAGAAAAAGTTTAGTTTGTAAGGATTTACCAAGTTAAATATACGACTGATAAATATTTAATTTTCATTTATCTTTTCTCCCTATCCCTCCTTTCTTTCCCATTGTTAACTGGAATATACAGAGAAAAACTGAAGCCTCGTGTGGGTAAAGTAACTATAGGTAGAATTTGATGAGTTTTTGAAAAGCTAAATAATAAAATTCGATCGTAAAATATATATTTCAATCGATGCTGGTGTTATAAAATTCCGTTTCGAAAACCTATAGTGTGTTTTTCCTAATACCTAGACTTGGAGGCGCTTTTTTTTGTCATTGCTGGACGTTAAACAGTAGTTCGATAGCGCAAATCAATCTTTTTATATTATGTGCGGAATTAAAAATGTCACATAAATACCTCGCACGAGTCACCTTTTGAATGATATATGCGAACAATTCCTGCAAAGGATCTATTTAAAATGCAAATCAGTAACAAACACAATACTCTTCCCTCGAAGGCACATGTTACACATTTCATCGTCAATAAATCTATACGCGCATAATTCATCTTTTAGTAAAAGTAAATATTACATTTCGCGATATATTTACTCCTTGAATTACATTAATTACATTAATTCGAGTAAATTTCATACAAATTTAAATTATATGTCTTTTAACGTCTCAAAAAATTATCTGGTACTGAATTTATTTATGAATGAACCAATTATGTACTGCGTTTTATGACTAAACCAATCACGGCATTATGTTTCGTGGATGAATCCATTATTGTCATTTTCGAATGAGCTAACTACGATAGAGTTTTTTTTTTTCTTTCAACGAAGCCAGTCACGACGTAATTTTGTGCATAAATCCGTTATTATCACTTTCAAATGGACCAATCACGATGTTACATTTCACGAATAAACCAATTAGGTGATTTTTTTTCTTTTCAAATGAATCAATTACAACAAATCATTTCGTTTCTTTTTAACTTCGTTATTTTAATGAGGATATAATTTGCTACTAATGTAATTTAAGTAGAATTTTATCTACAAATCTACAAAACTAATTTTTACAATTAAAGTGTTCTGGAACTTAACTATACAACTGAACCATAATATCAAGCTGCGTTCAATGCTTTACGTGATGCTGTTTCTTAACTCTGGCAATTTAATTAAGAAAATAGCTTTCCTGTAACAAACCTTTAACTTTTCCAAATAGGTCTACTGTAATTACTAACTCTCAATACTTTTAAATAAACTCTGGTTTTAAAGTAGATTCTATACATATATATATCCCTAACGATGCGAATCTAAAATAGCTCGCATTCTATTAGGAAGAATCATTACTTATTAGAGTTTCAACATTCCATCGAACATATTCCAGGCATGTTTCTGGCAAATGGTTTCTGTACAAGAATGCGAATGTTGACCAGATAAACAAACAATTTGCTGCGCGTTATACGCGATGAGAGAGGCTACACGATTAACTCAACACTATTTTCCTGCGTAGAAACTTTAAAAAAAATAAAAGAAAAAAAAATATTATCTTGCTGAGATGATTAAGTATTTACATTATTAAATTTATCTTGCATTCTTTTTTTTTCCATTGTCAGTAATAAAATTATAAAGAACAGCCATGAAGCTCAGCGTACAGTATATCTCGACTCGGTTGCATTGCTGTACTTAGCTGGATATTCTATATTGTTAATGAATGCAAATTCGTGAACAGTGTTCGTCTTTAAATTAAGATTAATAAACTAAACTCTTCCAAACAACGATTTCACTTTTAGCGTAATCGTTGCAGTTTCCAGTAATTTTGATAAATGATCTCATCTTTATCCAATGTCCCAGTGCAAACAAAAGATTTTTGAACTCGTGTCGAAGAGTTGATACCTTTACTAATAAATCTTAAGTAAATTAATAATTAGAAATATTAATTTAGTAAATTTTATTTTATTTTTTTTAAAGTTCGATTTGTTGCATAAACCGTAAATTTACTTTCAGAGTTTTTATTTTATTATTATTTTTTTTATTTTAAAGTTGAACGTATCTTATAACCTATGCTTTTGTAAGATAATACTTCACAAAATCACAGAACTCGATTGTAATCTAATAAGACCACAATTGATTACTTAAGTTAACGTTTTATTGTTTAGAATCTGCAGCGAAGGAAATACGGTAATTGTATTTAAACAAAAAATTTAATTAAGTTTTGTAATATTCTTGAATATTTTAAATATATATCTGATATATTCTTAGAAATAATATAGAAAATATTTACTAGAAAAGTTTACTGTACTGTATATAATACAATCGAATCTTCAACAACAGTAACCTTTCAATAGAGGCCATTCTTTTCATAAACTGTTTTTAATAAAAGGACATACAAAATAACCTCCAAACAACGGCCTTTTTTATGTTCCAGCCAGTAGTGGCCGTTGTTCAGAGGTTTGACTTATACAGTATACTATACATTAACTTCGCTTTTGTATGCATTTAAATGTAGTGAAGTCTGTAAGAATATAACTGTTTAAAACTTAAGTAATTCTATTAATATTAAAATAATAATAATAATAAATTTTAAAATGTATTTAAATTAAACATATTGACTCAATTTAAGTCTAAAAATTCGACATAAATTACAGAATTTATTATTAGAGCGACATTTATTCATTTTCTATTATTTAATTAACATATTTTAGTAATACAGTACAACCTGCAATAAACGGCCACATTTAAACGAGGCCATTTTTCCAGGAACTTTTTCTATTTTTGAACGAAACTGCATATAAAAAAACCCTCCAAACAACGGCCATTTTAATATTCCTGTCGATGTCCGTTGTTCGGAGGTTGGACTCTATATCTAAACTGATTTACAGCGTGTAATGTAACGTTTAAAAATTTATACCATTCGAATAAATTAATAATTAATTTAAACAAGACTACAGATGCAAGTTTAAAAATTAAACTACTCTATAGATTTATAAAGCTGCTGATCACCTTTACCTGATAATAAGTGGAAGAAAATGAATTTTTTTTTTTTATGAGGATCATCAGAGGTTATATTATTATTATTATCACACTCATGATTACATAACACCTCTCTTCATAGTAAAGTTGTTATTCCTAGTTGTTAATTAAATCGTATATCTGACAATAGTCTTTCCGTATCCTGTATAAACGGATATTATTAAGGAAATGAAGGCAATAGAATATTATCAATACAACAGGATTTTGATATCTATGATTAATAATATGTTAATAAAACATTAAAAATTCACCTTATGGATCATAAATGATGTATGAGCAGTTTAGATCCTTCTATGATAAAGTCGCGCTAAAGATAACAAAGAGAATCTTCATAAATTAAAAAAAACAAAAAATAAAAAAAAATTACCATTTTTATCGTTTTATCTTTTAAAATTATTCTATTAAAGTAAAAAAAAAATTCGAATAACTAATGAATATATATATGATTAATCTCGCTAGATGGCAGTAAAATAATAATAAAAAAAAAAATATGAGCGTTTTTATCTATTAAATCAAACATTTATTTATAAAATTGAATTGTTTTTAATAAATTAAATAATTGATAGAAATTTTTGACATTTAAATAATATTTTTTTATTAATGAATTATGAGAGAATATTTAATCTGAATCCGTCCTTTATTTATAAATACAGCAAGTCATGTTGACTGCAATATGACTAGATGATGAGATGGCGAATTAATAATAAAATTCTTGTACTGCCGATAATCTTTTCCATGTTAACCTGATGGGTATAATATTATGAAAATGCATTACGATGGGGAACAATACAGCAGGAGAAAAAAGAAAGAAAAAAAAAAAAAGAAAAAACAAACTTAATTTCCGGATCGTATCGCGAAGAAATGGTGGCCATTGAGTTACAACAACTGATTTTTCTTGTTAAAAAACTCGTTTCCTACTTTTAAGCTATTTATACGGTTAAGCTAGGCACATCTAAATGATCATTCATTTATGTATCATCATATACAGTATAGGGACATGCAAACTAGCGATGCACGCAAGTGAGGATACATATGAGAATATACATCAATAACACATATAGATCTAACAAACGAATAAAATACGACATAGTTCATATAATAATACTAAAATATGCCTG